CCCCATCTCCATGCAGAGGTAGAAGAATGAAGCAAGCTGGAGACAATACTAACAGAACCAGCAGTAACTTAGAGGGGCCAGCCTGACAGAGGCACAAGTAGCTGTGCATCCAGAATTCTCATGGCTCCTACTTCTCTTGTCATACTATGCCTCATCGTCACTAAGCATCAAACACAGTCCTAGTATAAACACTTCTCATGTAGAGTCAGAGGCAAATGGTCTGAATTTGCATACTGGGTTTTTATTTTATTTTCCAGTTCCTTCACACCTCATTTCAGTATCACTTGTGTATTTCTGTTACTGCTCTCGGAGCTACATTGTCCCTATGTAATGCTACAGCATCTAAGAATGATCTGTTTGCTCAGCCTCAGGGCCTTAACTTTGGGAAACAGTCAGATCCATTTGATGTACTAGCTCAACATTGTACTTCTGAAGTCTGCATTAAAAAAATTTATGGAAATCCCATTACATTGGATACCTCGCAGTACTGCAATGTATTCAGCGCCAAGTACTTATATACAAAAGAACAGGCAGATATTGGCTTAATTCTTGGCATGCTGAAAGCTGAGATACTCATATACATTCTGAGCATATGAGGCTGTAGATTTAGCTAGTGAGGAACAGCTCAGGAAGAAGCTCAGGAATTTAGGTCTTTTGCCTGGTCACAGCCATAGTCAGGCACTACATTTCACTCTGCACAAATGTGTCCTTATTTCCTCACTCAGGTATTTCAGTCTACTTGACTAAATCAGATTCATAGATTTCAGATGAGCAGGAATCTTCTATATTGGCTTTTTCTTACCAGTCTGTACTTGATTTGTGACATTGATGACATAGAATTTTCACTGTTCTCACTATTTTTTCCTTCAAAATTGCAAGTTTTAATGAAAGACGCAACATGCAAAAGGAAGTTTCCCATAAGTTTTGTATCTAATTTTTAGCCTGTTCTATATCCCATCCAAAACATACCCAAACATAGTGTCAGAAAATAGTTGGAAAATGTTATACGCTCACTGCTGAGAGAAGCTCAGAATTGCCTTGTGCAAGAGCACATCTTTATGTATCAAACAGACAGATCTTACCTTGCCCTTGAGTGTGCAAGCACTATAACTGCTACCAGCCCAGCAGCTGGAGGGTCTCAGGAGACAACGTAGGAAAACAGAGGAAGGCAAAAGAAAGCTCTGATGGGTGGCTGCCTTCTTCCATCAGTTGTGTCAAAATCTCTAACTACTGTGTTACACCACAGATAAGTTCTTTGTTCAAGACTGCTAATACAGTCTGTAATCCATGGGTTAGGGTAGTCAGGTTAAAGACTGCGGCAGAGCTAAGGATGTATCCAGACCACTAGTTCACATTAAAACTGCAACACCTTGATTTTTGCTAGAATTTTACCTTGGGTTAACAGTATAAAACACCCCAGTTTTCCTAAAAAAAAGTAAGACTGTGAGAAAAGGTACTCTCATCTAAGCTGTTCACAGTGATTCTTCAGGGAGAGAAATGCTTAGAAAGGGAAAACTAGAAAACACCTGATTCTTTTACTCTAAGACATGGAATCAAAACTACTGCAGCCATGGCTGAGGAAGCAATACTAGCGGGGAGTGAGCCTACCTTCTTTTGTGTATACCTCCCAGCCAAGCACCTTATTGTTATGCCAGGATGGTTGGCCATAGATCCAGCCCCCTGTGCTGTTTATAGCTTTCTGCATCTCCCCTGCCTAGGGACAGAACAGTCCCTGTTTCCCCCAGAGGACAGAGTCTACAATTCTCTGCACATAAATGGGACAAGGGAGAGCTCGCTTGTTTACTGCGGGCTAACAGGAGAATCTGGCTGATGCTGGCCCTGCTCTCACAGGCTGCCTTACATGTATAAATAGTCAAGGCCTCAGAAGATGCCCATTATTGCTGAGTCTGGAGAGCAGCTAATTTTAGTCAGTAGCAGATCTTTCAAAACAGAAATTCTTCATCAACACAACCCTTCATTGCTAGAAGATAACATCTCTTTCACCTCAAAGACAGACTTACATAGTTCTGTCTTTCTGGTGACACTAATGAGTTACTGCTCCCAGGATTGTTCACTCAGATCCCTCTAGCTGACTTGCTTTAAGCCATCAACTGCTGGCTGCACCATAACTTCCTGCTACTGAGTTAAATCCTCCAGGGTAGCACATTCTCCATGCACTACACTTCCTGTATCTGCTTCCCCTCTCCTCAGATGTTAACTTTATCTGCTAAACTTAGACCCACCACAGATCAGGCCATGAGGTGTCAGAGAGATCTTTAAATATGAACTCATTCTCTTCCTCCCACATAACCCTCACCTGCCATCACCTCCCTGAATATAGTTACCTTCACTCTGTCTTCTCAATACTTCACTCACATTTTGGTCTTTTACAGGCTTAATAAGATGCAGATCTACTTTGAAATGTGTCTTCCAAAACTTTTCATAAGTTTCCATGCTTACTGTCTCTGAGTGACTCCAGATCAGACATGTCCAGTTCATACTGGGGGGTGAGGGGAAGAGAACCAAACTCAACAAAGCTTCTACCAGCTCAACAGCTTGGCTGCTGTCCTGCCTTCCTCAAAAGGTTCTGCTGGGTCAAGTGTACATTTTGAACAGCTCCCTGCAGAAAAAGTACCACTGTTCTGTAACCTTGTCCACAGGACTAGCAGGGCCAAAATCCAATCCAAGCAAGCGCATCACTAAAGCCATTGAATCGGATCCCTTAGGCACAGGGAACAGGTCCAGTGCAGATCCAGTGCAAATAATAGTCATGCATTTGCCAAAGTCCTCATGCTTTAAATTCACAGGACATAAACTTTCTGTTTCATGCAGTGGTTCTCTCACCCCGACACTAGCTCCTAATCCCATCCATTTTCCCACCCTTTCAATGACGTTACCAAAACCAGTGCTGATATTAAAAGCTATTTACAGATAAACTCCCCTCTAGCTCCCCTATCTGGTACCTACCCCTTCTTCAGCCTGCTCCTTTCTCTCCTCTTCCTAATCTCCTGTGTGTCATCTTCCATCAGTGGAGGCTACTGTTTTAGTGGTATCTCCTGCTAAACTGCTTTCCATATCATTGAGCAAAGCTGTAGGGAGTAGCAAATGTACAAAGTTTTCATGGATCTTCACGTGAAAACTTGGCTTTTTTGAGTAATATCAAGACTTGGACATTGCGGTTTTGCAATGCTAAGGGGTCAGTGGGCCATTCTGAACATGAGATCATGATCTCCTGAGGTGCAAGTTCTTCATATTGCTAAGCTGAAAACAGTTTTCCAAGCCACTGAGAACTAACCAAATCGGATGGAAACATGAGCTGCACAAGACTCTCAGGGCAGACAGAGACAAGTGGCTTGTAGGTTCTGTGGTGTGCAACTATGTTCAAGGACTGTTTTGGACTCAATGGTAAGGACATGATTCACTACGTGATCTTTCCTTGGGCATAAAAGAATGACAATACAGACTGATACAAAGCTATAGAGAATTCTAGAGGCATATGGACACTAAAACATTAGGCACTGATGACTGGCAAGATTGAAGTTATCAGCTGTGAACAAATGAGAGGAAAAGCAAAGGGGTAAAATAAATAAAAGATAATGCAAGACATTCATACAAATAATAATAAAAAATTCAAGTCCAGAAGGCACATGGAGCGCTATGAGTGAAGCGTCCTGAAGGGCTCAGAGGGATACAGCAGCCAGACTAATTTACCGAGATAGCAAAATGACATTTTCTAAAACAAGCTAAATTAATTATTTGCTTCAGTGCTCCTGAAGGAGAAAAGAAGTTGACAGAAAATTACATGTCATATAATTCTCAGGGTGACAAGGAGGGGAACTAGAAGAGATGCAAGGGTTGAGGCCTTTATATCCCTCCTGTGCTACTTGGTTGCCTAGGGCAAACCCTTTAGTTGATGAATACAGACAACATACCAATGACATGCCAGCAGTGCTCTGTGATGGGGAAGGTTTCCATCTGACCATTTTCATGAAGCTCAAAACAATCTCTAGGTCTGACTCTCCTTTGCCGCAGCCTTCATGTCTTCATTTCTGCCTGCACAAAGTGACTATGAAATTCTTCCAAAAAAGAATTATTTTTTCTTGGTGGCAGCTCAACACTCCCTGTTCATAGGTATTAATGCCTAGACAAGGTGCAAATTAAAAATTCAGGCATGAACTCATGTTGCTATTCACAAGGAAAACATGTCAGAAGCCTTTTCCAAATTCATGTGAAATTAACAGTGGAGAGACTTGGCCTTTGTCAAGCTAGGTGCAGCCCCTGTGAGCGCTTGTTGCCTTGATGCAGGGTGAAGGGGTTGTTAGCTTCATGATACCGAAGGAACCTCAATGTAGGATAGATTTCCAGGAAAAAAAAAATGAAATTTAGACCACAGTAAGTTTTTCTCTCAGCATCAATGTTAGCTCCATTTTTTCCTTTTCATAAATCACTTCCATTACAAAATAGCTCCCCTTAGTGACTTAGGGTACCCATGCATGTACCCTGTGCAATGTGTTGTAACTACTCTCTGTAACCTCAACGCCTAGAGGTTAGTGACTGCCTCCAAGGGCCTCACTTTCTTCCCCCTGCCTCCGACCAGGTCAACAACAATACTCCCTTTGCAGGAAATTGCACCTGCAAGGACATGGTATTAGAGAATTTACTTAAGTATAAGCAACTTACAAGAGCTAAAACTAGGGTAAATAAACTCATTTTGATTAATAAAGAGTGACACACTAACCCACCAAAAAGCAGAATGCAACATTCTTTGTCACACTTTTCCAGATTTTAAGAACTATCTTAATGTTCAAAGCTTGAGATAAAAAACAGTAAAACACGACCTGAATATACAGTTAGAATTACTGCTGTTTTACTTTCCATAAGCATAGAAAGACTTTTGGATACCACGGTACATAATGAGATTGCAAGGTGTAATGTTATTTAGAGTCATTAAGAAGCAAAATTACAGACAAGCCTTATCAAGACCTGTTTAAACGCACAGGTAGAGAAATCTTGAAGAAGTGATAACATACTTGCAGTGAAGCTCTTGGAAGCTTTAATAATCCAGAAATTGTCTGTTCTTCTTGCACAAGTCTGACCTGTTCATTTGTCAGCTGCACATTTTCTGCCTACAGTGAAGAAAACCACATTGCATAGTATTATAATCATACACAATGCAAGCAGGCATAGTTATAGATAGATAAACTTAAGGGTGGGGGGGAGCAGGGGAAATAACAGATAAGATACAAAATTCTGTAAATATATTTAAGCAAAAGAGCCTGAAATAAGGCTGTTTGAATTCTCCCTTTTCAGATGTCAGTGAGTTGGAAGATCATGGCAATTGCTCACTTTAGACACACTCGAGAAGGTAATCAATAGAGAAGAGAGTAATAATGCAATTTAATTTAATATAAATAGACTAGGATAATAAATCTCTCTCTAAACTAAGAGATAAGTCCTTTCCCATTATGTTTCATTCTATGCTCCTAAAACAGCATGTGTGAGAATTTCAGATGAGATATGAAAAGTACAAAACTAAGCTAGAGAGGCATGCGTAGAATTACATATGAAATGCTTTTACTAAGCAAGAGGTCATGCAAGACCAGGATAAACTTTTCCTGTTGACATTTTATAGATGTTCTTTTAGCTTTGCAGAAGCTGAACTGCACTACAAGCTTCACACAGCAACTGACATACCTGAATCTGTGGTATCTTAGAATGATGCATTTTGGGGCATCTGTAGCAAACTGGTAAGAGACGAGGATGTTGCTGTAATTCCAACAACTGGAATTGTTGTCTGGAAACAACCTAGATCAAAGCACTCATGTCAGCTTGTAAATAATTACATACTCTGGCTTAGTCCAAAGCCTGTTGTCTTCACTGGAGGATTGTTGTTGAATCACATGTTCCATAAGTATCAGCACAATTTCTAAATTCCTATCCCAGCATATTAAGCACAAGTAATGCTTTCTAGGCATGGTCTCTATTAATGATGCTGAAATTCTGGTCAGGAATAAACAAGGGGAATAATTTTAGTGCAATGAAGAAGAATCTGAACCTATTGCTTGGGGGATAGGAAAAAGAAAACAAAGTGTGTCTTCAGTAGCCACATGTTCCAAAATCTGAAAGTCATGAGTAATAAAAAATGTTTATATGCATACATTTCAGATCTGTGCTTACACCATAGGCAAGTGAAGCTGACTCCAATACGTATCAGAAGTTCACAGGTATGGGAAGGTACAGTAATCTCTAAAAATGTATTACTTGCTAAGGAAGCAAAGAAGCCACACTTCAACTTCACTATGTACAATGTAAGTCATTCCAATACAAAAGGACCATTCAGGGATGAAGAAAGTACAAGAGACAGCTGGGACATAATACAGGAACATTGAAGTTAGTGTTGTTTTAGAAAGTTTTAGGAAATAAGAAATTAAAATTCTACTGAAAGAGATGCCAGGCCATCCCAGAGCTCTGACACACCCAAGTACCCTACAAGATCAGCAAAGCTTTGCACACTCCTGGCTGCTGCAGATGGTACAAAAAATCAGTGTCCACAGAAGTGAGGTGGCTCTTGTTCTCAAAGAGCAAAAAAGACTCTGAATTGATGTTTGTGCACAAAAATAGCTCTCAGCCCAAAATCAGCTGGACCCCAGGCTAATCAATAATTTCAGGATGGCAGTATGTAAGGGCATGTTGTGCTGGAGAGAAGCTGATCAATGCTTCATTATATGCTGGCACTTGATATCAGATGCTGCAGGATGCTCCTAGTTGCACACATTAGAGTGTGGTGCTTTTTGCCACAACACAAAACTCTCAGTAAAAAGCCAAGAGGAAACAGGGTCCATAAGTAACTTACTGGTCTGCCAGTGATTCTTGTCTCTGACATCTCCTCCAAGCTCTGTTGCTGATTCAACACTCGTCCTGTGGCAAACCAACTCCCTAAAAACTCACAGTGACAAATTCTGGTCCTAGTATTCCCCTCCAGCTCTGTCTTGTGGATGAAATAATTGAAGGGCTCATAGAATGGGTTAGGTTGGAAGGGACATATAAAGAGCATTTAGTCCAACCCCCCTTCAATTGGCAGGGACACCTTCAACTACATCAGGTTGCTCAAAGCCCCATCCAGCCTGACCTTGAATGTTTCCAAGGATGGGACATCTACCACCTCTCTGGGCAACTCGTTCCAGTGTTTCGCCACCTTCACAGTAAAGAATTTCTTCCTTATATCTAATCTAAATCTACCCTCTTTCAATTTACCCCTTGTCCTGTTGCAACAGGCTCTACTAAAAAGCTTGTCCCCATCTTTCTTATAGATCCCCTTGAAGTAATGGAAGGCCGCTATGAGGCCTCCCCAGAGCCTTCTCTTCTCCAGGCTGAACCCCCCCCAACTCTCTCAGCCTGGTCTCACAGGGGAGCTGCTCCAGCCCCCCTGATCATCTTTGTGGCTTCCTCTGGACCCACTCGAGCAGGTCCGTGTTCTTCTGATGTTGGGGGCCCCAGAGCTGGACACAGCACTGCAGGAGGGGTCTCACAAAAGCGGAGTAGAGGAGGAGAATCCCCTCCCTCGACCTGCTGGCTACACTTCTCTTGATGCAGCCCAGGAGATGGTATGCATATGCCAATGGCTTTCTGGACTGCAAGCACACATTGCCAGGTCCTGTCCAGCTTTTCATCCACCAGTATCCCCACGTCCTTCTCGGCAGGGCTGCTCTCAATCCCTTCATCCCCCAGCCTGTACTGATATCAGGGGGTTGACCCAACCCAGATGCAGGTCCTTGCACTTGGCCTTGTTGAACCTCCTGCCACAGAAATGCCGTGACTGATCCTGTTGTCTTGCTTCTAATGTGATCAAGGCAAGAGATATAGGAAAAGTAAGCCAAGGGAGTAAAAAGTTAGCATCTTTTGTATCTTCTTTGCCTTGAACAGACAGGAGTTAGGTTCTATGTTCAGTCTTAATCTCAGGTCCCCTAGAATTTTTGTAGCTTTTCCTCCAAAGCTCTCCAAGAAACCTGGCTGAGCAGCAGGCTGAGAGGAATTTCTGACAATGCACAATGGAAATGGGCACAGGAAAAAACAGCCAAAATAGCTCTAGTGAGTTTTACATACATCTCTGAGACTATGACTATCCCAGGAGAATCTTACCTCACCCAAGAGCAGAGAGAATCCCAATTCCCAGATGAGATGATATAGTGATGATTCATTGGTATCTTGACCCTCTCTCTGGGATTTCCCCTCATGGAAACATCTTGGGCCACATGTTCAAAACAAAGGCAACCATTCACTAGTTCGTGTTAATTTAACACTGTCAGGGGACAACAACTCTTCTGCAAACTTGTTCTCCAGAGATACCTTACTGGTTTTCCTATAGGAAGAGAGAAATACCTTCTATTGGCAAGTTCAGCTACAGAAATCTTTCAAAGAAGCTGCTCTCCATGAGATAGGAGCAGTTGCTCAGCAGAGCAAACAAGTTATAAACACATTTCCATTGTGTTCTGACCATCAATAACGATGCACCAAGTTAAAACCTGAGGTTTCTTTGAAATACAAATTTAGGGTTCCGGTTCACAAGCGTTTTCAGGTTGAGTTGTGGCAGCTGAAGAGGTCGGGTATAAACCAGAAAGAACGTTTATCTCTTCAGCTGCTGCAGACAGTTCCACGCAGATTGTGAACTGGAGGCTTTGGCTACAGCAGCTCCCAGTGTAGCACGCTAGCAGGCTGGAATCAGTGGTGGTTTAAGTTATAAAACAGAGTTGTGAACTGCATGAGGGCTCAGGAACTGAACAATCGCCTGCTCCGCTACACATGATGCGATCTCTGCAGAGGAACAAGGACTGGCTGTAAGTGTTACCTCACAGCAATTAGCACAAATTGCTGGGGTCACGAGTCCTCAACATCCTGATTCCTGCAGCAAGTCAAAAGGATGCCGAGACCTTGACTGCTCAGTCACCTTTGAAAATAAGTAGTGTCCTCAAATGCACACAGATTTTTAAAAATTGATTTGATAAACATACAAGTCTCCTGTGCTATCCCAGATGCTTCTGGGATTCAGAAGTTATTTCCTACTGTTTGTGTCTGTTTGGCTGGATGACCAGTGGGTTCACTCTCAGTCTAAAGTGTCACCTCTATAAGAGCTATTGATATGATCCTGTTAAATTTTATATAAGATTCACACCTGGATCCCACTAGACCAGTTATTTTTGCCTTTTCCCTCCTTGGACTTTCTGTAGAAACCAGATACAACATAGTGTTCATACAGACTGAGTAACAAGTTGTTTAGATAGGAAAGGAAACAGAAGGTGTCTAGTGAAAAAAAAATTGTTTTTTCTTAGCTACTACTGCTATTTGATGTCTGAAACAAGCTAATTTCAGCTGATTCCTAGGATGCTACAGAAAACAGTAGCAGTTTTTGGAGACGACTAAAGCTCCTGCAGTCACAGAAATGAGGTGGGGCGGCAGCAGCGATGATTTGTTTTTAACGCTGCCAAAATGCAAACCTACATGCGGAGCACCAAAAGCTCTGGGGACACATGGGATCTACAATAAAAGGGGGTGGCACACAGGGGTCCTGCCTGTCGCACGCAGCGGCGGCTGGCGGGCGACACCCCGCGGCCCGGGCAGGGACCGGCCCGGCTCCCCCGGCTCTGCCAGGCCAACAAATGACCCGACTCATCAAACACCTATTCAGGCCAACAATAGTTATCGATATTTCTTTCCTTCCCCTTCTCCCATTACAGGAGACTTGGAGAGGGCTCTGCACTTTCACAGCTCTTTGACAAGTCTAGGTAGCTGCTCTGTGGCCATTACCTTGGAAGTAAAAGTTTCCGAGCCAGTCCTTGACTTTGTGCACCTTAAGGCTTACCCTGCATCAGATTTGTTGTATTCAGGCTGTTAAATTCAGTCAGATGTATTCAGCTGATCTCTCCCTTTACTAATGAACAAAAGCATCCCCGTATTCAACATTTTCATTAAATGCAATGGAATTCTCTAAACTCAACTCTCCTTTCTATGCACTTCTACTGTTTCAGAAACAGTGTTGGTCCCAAACAGCCACATGCAATGTTACTAATACATCAGAGATCTGCTGCATCTCTAGCAAACTTCTTAGGGCTTCCCTGAAAGACAAATCCTCCCCCAGACAAGCCTGATCAAATTCTCCAGGGCAGGACAACTGCTGGCAAGCCCAGGACAATCACAGTATAACAAGACTGGGCAGAACAGGACAAGGGCTGAGAGGAATGAAGGGCTTCAGGCAATTGTGGGCAGCTGCCCAAGCAAGAGAGAGAGGGGCTGTGGAAGGGAGAAACCCTGCTTAAATCCACACGGAGCTCCTATCTAAAGGTGAAAGATGTCCCATTCACCCCATGGAACAGTGCTAATGCATTGTCAGACCCAGGGGACAAAGGGGCTTTACAGCAGTGTGGTTGTGCTTGTTAAGCTGAAGGTAGAGAGGTGCTGGCACTACCCATGACACACATGCCTAATGATGACAAGGGGGCAGGAAGAAAGGCAACGGAAGGTGCAATGCAGGCTGCGTTTAAATTGGGTTAGCTCAAAGCCTGTAACTATGTTAAGGAAAAGCTACACTGAAAATTTAACTGCATTCCTAAAATAAAAGAATTGCTAGAGTGTAACTCCAATTGCTGAACTTCAAAGCAAGGGGATTTCCATCTTAAGTGAAAAGTTCAGTAGGCTCAATCCAGCCACTTCCATAAACTAAGGAGTGGCTTTACCCATCTCAGAGTGATGGATAAAACTGGCTTCTAATGGATCATTGTCCAGAGATCAACTGTCTCCAATCCTTGAACCCACAGTAAATGCTTAATGCTGCACTGGAGCCCACAACCAAAGAAGTTCAGACAGTAAACTAAAAGGAGAAAGTTTAAACACATCTCCTACTTTCATCAGCCAGAGGTTCAGCAAAATGTCTTCAGTGACATTTAAAGGTGAGATTTTCGTCATCCCATCAGGGGCTGTAGAAAAGTGCAAAAGCAAGTAATTCCCTGGGCACAGAGGCATGTACCACCACCTGAGCAGGAAACACCCGGCTCCCCTTAGGGTCTGTACACTACATCTCAAGGCAAGAACCAGCCCTACCCTTGGCCTGGCTGGTGCCTTGTGTACATCTCCCAAGGAGGCATCAGGGAGAAAACTCACCAGTGAGACAAAGCCCATTTTCAGGGACTTCTTACTGGAGGAGGGAGCTTCCCTTCTCCTGTACTATATATCCTGGACAAGCCTGGCCTGTCAGGAAGTATTTTGACTTTGAGGTGGTTTAATTTTATGCCACATATTTCAGTGATCACTCAGCTGGCAAAGGGTGGCAGACCCCTGGGCTACAAATCTCTGTGATGCATCTGGACTCAAGACACAGTGCTCGACAGAGGCAGGCTGGCTACCAGAGTGACTCCACTCACCTGGGGTGCAAGATGGGCATGCACAGGGTGGGTTTCAGCCAGAAGCAAGCCACCTCTCTCAACACATTCACTGTAACATTTATGGGTGCAGAGGTTGTTCCAGCCCTCTGCCACTCCATCCCTCCACCTCCTGGACTTCTGATGCATCCAAGCACAACTAATCTGCTCAGTGTCACTGTGAGTCAATTGGACTGGGCAGCTGAGCACATGCTGCTGCTACCATTTCACAGCCCTTTGCAGGAATCTGTCAGCATCAGTACAGTCAGGTTTGGGGAATCACTATTTGTGTGCTGGCTTGCTTCCCTCCCAAACATCATTCCAATTCAGAGGAATGGGTATGTTTTTGATGGGGGAGGTGTATAGTTGGATTCTCTCTTAAAATGCCTTTCAGTGCAGAATTCATTCAACCTTACCAATCTTGCAGAATAAAGTAGCCTCTACAACTCTTGCACCCATCTTATCAGTTGGATCAAATTAAGAAAGTAAGCTTTGAGAACTTAAGCCCCTAATCATGAGGAACCCAAATGGCTTTTCAGGAAAATTCATTTTCTTGCCTATTTCGACAGAAAGTCTTCACATAACTGAAGTGACACATCTGTTTGATGGATGCTGCCACAACACTCAGCCTCTTCACACTGAAGATTGGTTGCTCCTAGAAATAGGTAAATGTCATTCACCTAATAAGTGGGATGCCAGCTCCAATGGAATAAACAGACCTTTCCTTCATCTACTAACTGCCGAAGCATTTCCTGGGCACAACAGACTCCTTCAGTGCCAAAGAGAGAAGGTCACTGCACAGTGAGAATCTCAAAGCAGCAGTGGGTAGTAGCAGTAGCCAGCTTTAGTCACAGAGGTAAAATGACGCCTCCTATAAAGAATCCCTTTAATTCCCCCAGGTGTGGGATGATTTTTAATTCAGAAGAATGGAGCAATGTTTCTAAAACCATCACAGCATTGAAATTAACAGGGTTGCTCCTACACGCAGCAGATTTGCAGAATCAGAACCATAATCAGTGTTTTATTTGGAGAGAATTCTGAAAGGGGTAGGTTATTTTTCTTACTGCCTGTCTGTCTTGTTTTCTGCCCCTCATGTCTCAGCACTACTTCTGCATTCATCAGCAAGGCCAGTTAAAAATCGCCTGAACTGCCATTTGACCAAGTGCTTATCTGCACAACTGTATAACCCATACCATCAGTTAGGGAAAAACAATTTCCCCTGGCTACTAGAGACAGCCTAATTACCTAATCTGACAGGTTATTAATGGTTCAAGTCAACAAAAAGTATAATGGATGCTGATAAGCACAAGCTGCCTGGACATTTGGCACGTACAACCCAGCTAGAAATCACTGCTGTGAAAAGCTGCCACTGGCCACAGGACTAAATTGTTTGATCTTTCAGGGTTTCACTTAACAGGTCTATCAACATGATAAAGAGACAAACTAGCAAGTTTAGTCCATTAATGAGGACTGTGAAACAGCCTAACAGGATAAAAGATATTTATGTTGCTGGTTAATGTAAAAATAAATCTCTGTTTCATTTCTCTACAATTACAACACCCTCCCCTTTTACAGAGCTACTTTGGGGACAAAAATCACGTTATTCTTCTACTAGGAAGGAGAGCAGTACATATAAGGGTCCATGAGGAAATGGGCAGCAAGAGACAAGACAAAGCCATTTTTAAAGCATTGTCAGCCCTCCCATAACTCACTACAAGTGCTGCACTATTTCATGGGTCTGCTTTAAAGACCCAATTACTAGACTCACATGATCCCATCAGAATCTCAGGTTTTTATTTTAAAGAGGAAAAAG